CCCCCCTTTTTCCCCCCCCCCCCCCCCCCCAGCGTCCGTCCGCCGGTTTCGAAACCGATGGATGCCATTCAGGGACCGAAAGAGCTGCTCCTGCCCATTCGAGAACGCCGTGCCATTCTCGCGGCAGGCCTGCTGCCTTCTTTTTGTGCCGCGAAAATTATTCGGAGCCTAACAATCGGCCTTCTTCGAACTAGCTACCTCGAGCGTGTTGTCCGGCGTTTCTTAGAACAGTTTTCCGGGAACTCGAACTTTTTGCCGACGAAATATTTTCGTTCGCGTAAAAGAAGGACCGGAGAACATCGGATGTATTTTCTTGTCGCGATTGTTCCATTCGGCGAGGCGAGAGAAAATGTTGTTCTCGTCGTCGACGAGCGGAGAGGAAAAGTGTCGTTTTCTAGCGTTTTGTTCGCGTCGGCGCCGAAGACATTCCTCTCTCGGCCGTAATGTAAGAGTATCGAGCAAATATTATTTCCTCGCCTAGTATTACCTTGAGAGATAGCGGTCAATTTACGCATAAACACGGACATTATTTACGGCTTCGAAAGATCATAAAAAAAAAGAACGAGTAGAGTCGCTCGAACAGGATTGCATTCTTCTTAATGCTATCTACAAGCGGAACCATTAATGCTGAAAATAAAACTCTGCCTTTATCGCGCGGATTCGGAATAGTTCGCCATAAAAACCGTGGGGGGGGAATTGCGCGAACATTGCGTAAGAACCGGCGAGACTATTTATATCCTTCTGAACTTGCCGGTTCTCAATGAACTTCGCCAGGCCAACAATCGTTTTGCGAAATACCAGGCATCCGTTCGCCGGTCATTAAAAGCGTTCGTATTTATTTACTCGTTATTAGCCATTCGGACGCTCTTTCGAACGTTTATAAATTCGATAAAACTCTTGAATTATTCGCGATTGTGTCACTGGTAATAGTCTCGGCCGATCGTTCTATTATCCGAACCGAGATACTACCGTGCTCGAGAACTTCCGCTAAACGCGTTCGCTGTAATAGAATTAATTGACTGGAATTAACGTTCGGACACCTTTTACAACGGAATAACTTTTTCCACATTGGACGAGATGATGCGAATTTGTTTCTTTTTTAGACTGGTTTACTGTGCAATTACGAAAATACCTTTGTAAACGTATTTTGTACACTTGCATTATAAGATAAAAAGAAGGTTGCAAAATGGAAGATCCCGAATTTCTTTTATTCCTACCAATTGTAATTAAAATGAAGTGTTGTAGACATTGCCTATAGTAAACTGGTCACATCTTAAAAAATTACAAGTCATTTCGTCCACTTTAAGAAAAAGTTATTGTATTTTAAGCAGACATTCTAAGCGTTATAACCAAAATGAAAGAAGATTATAGCACAACGATTATATTTTCCTTTAAATTGTTCAACTAACGAACAACCGTTCCAAATTATTATCATTGATCTTGATAGCGAACAATCATTGTAAACAGTTAAAATTTATTTTGCTCGACTATTACAAATAATTAATATGTATCTCGGTTGCGCGAGTAACAAACGCAAACGAGGTACACTGTTTTTGTTTACGAACTGGAACACCGTTACCGATGTCGGACATTATTTCTGATAAAATAAAACATTCGAAAGGTGACGGAATATTAATGCGGGTCGCTTCGTAATGTGCTTCGTAACGTCGGCACAGTCGTCGATACAACCGTGAACGATAAATCGAGAGAGACCCCCGGACCCTATCCGGCCATTTGCTCGCGTCAAATTTGTCCGCGGCGAGTTTTCGAGGCCGTGTGTCGCAGCCGGCCGAATTGTTTCCAGGAATCCGATCGAAACGTCGAGACGACCTAATTCCAGGGGGACGTGACCAGGGAGACCCGGGGCGAGAGGACTCGGAACGTCCACCACCCCCGCTCTCGCAATCGATTCTAACGAGAGAGGCTTAGGTCGGCCGATCAACCTCGTATAAATCACGGCACCCTCTCCCCACGGGGCGTTAAGGCGAACGGGAATGGTGTTTCCGATAAAAGTCACGGCTCGGGAATTCCTACCTTGGCCCCCATCCGACGCTAGAGAACCTAGGGACATTGTTTTTACCCCGTGCCGACGACGCCGACGTTTCCGTCGCGGCCGAGTGGCTGCTTTTCGCCGACTTACCTGCAACAGAAACAGAAAAGAATCATTAGCTTCGATCCATTAGCTGTCCATCGAGCCGCTTGGACAAAATTTGCGTTTGAATTTGAACGTTTAGCAAAACTCGGCGATACAATATATATATATAATATTCTTATACCGGTTTTAGCACCGGCGTATATTACCGGCGTATTTGTTGTAGAACTGACGATAAGGAATGCACGAAAAAGCGTACATTAACCAACACTATTAACACTTCTCATATAATATTATTACAATACTTATTCCTTATTCGGATTTATACGAACCGATAAAAATTAGAATAAAAGTGACCGACACGTGTG